TCTGTGATACTTTCCCAAACTACTTTTCACTCTTGGCCAGTTTTTCTCAGTCTCCTCATTTTCTTATTACTTTACTACTTAAAGTCAGCCTCCAGAAACAGTATTGAGAGAAGTAGGTCAATCAGAAAATTGTTATTTAAAAAAGGACTCATGACAGTTTTAAAATATCTCCTGCTATGTATATTCCTTTCATGAACATCTTTGTGTGCTAAACTTGCATATTTGTTGGACTTCCCCAGAGAAATGACACAGAATATCAAGAACTCTAATGTTAGTAGTTCTAACTTTTAGTTTAAAACTTTTTAATCTACCATTTCCCACAATGAGACATAGGACCCTAAGAACCAGTCTTCTGGATTCAGCATTTCAGAAAGATAACCATACTATCAGTAGATATTGATTAGTATCTGTTTTGTTGTTCTTTGTCGGACACTTTGAGGAAAAGGTGATTCACCAGCCTATACTCTCACTCCTTTTGAGTTTGACTTACAATTCATCTCTAGGAAATCATCCCTAATTAATTACACTATGTTATAATTAACTATTTGCTTCATATTCCCTCCGTGTGAGTCTGGCACCCAGGTTGCAGAGAAACAAAGAGTAGTACAGAATCTTTGCAAGAGGTATCATTTTAAGGGGACGTCATTTCTTTTGAAATAAGATTTCAATTATATAACGTGCACGCACACATGATATGGATGTGGTTCTTCTGGTCTTGGGAACATGCTGCCACAATCTCATACAGCATCGCTCTGGGTTCCTAGCTAAGCCCCTGCTCACTGTCAGTTCTTCCAGTCCTTTTTCCTTTCAAAAGCCGCATACTGTTTCGTACGCTATAATAGAGTTAACTTCATCCTCCTCAGCTCTTTGAATGCAATTACTGCCTTCTTTGCCTTGTAGTGGGTTTTTTTAAAAAGGGGGGGAAAAAAGGTAAGTTATTAAAACTCAGGGGTGAGATTCCCACTTAATTATCATGGTGACAATTGACCTTTTTCTTTAAAGTGCCATGTTGAATTCATTCTTTTAGAGTACTAATTTCAGTTGCACCTTACTTATTGCTTCTGTCTAATAAAACTTGGCATGTAGGATGCCGAGGCAATTGTATGTTATATTCGGTGAACACTTAATTTAACATTTAGCTTATGTGCCTATACTCTATGTCTTGATTTTCTGCTCTGTAATGATCCAATTTTCTCCTTCACCTCTTGCACTTGTAGCAGTAAGAAAAATGGTGTGTTGTGTTTTTACTCCTTCTGTAGAAGCATGCTTATTTCTGAAGGTGTCAGACTGTACTTCTGCCTGCCCTTGGTGAGCACACAAATGATCATACTGTTGCATTTAACTGTTACATTCCCTCCTACTTTTTAGCATTAAATATAAATAACCAGTGACACTATAAAATGTATACACCTTTGTTAAATTGCAGTGACATTATAAAATGTATATACCTTTGTTAAATTTTCTGCTGCTGGGCCCTCCCTGGTGGCGCAGTGGGTTAAAAAGCACGGCACTAAGAAGCTATTGAAGCCACTGCAACACAAGCTCCATCCCCGGCCAGGGGAGTGACCCACATGGCGTGGCAGACCTCTCTTGACCTGACCACTGCTCCCCTCAGCAGTGTATTTCAGTCCATCTGCCTGTTCTGCTCCCCACTGTCTCTGGTGAATCCTCGAACCCTCCATACCACTGGCCTGTACCCCAGTTCCGTATGTGGATATATATGTATATAGATATATATATATTTTTAAATGTCTGCTGCTAAGGAATGTGACTTTGTTTTTGCCAGTTAGTTATCTCTGCCCTCTCTGTCAAGAGAACAGAGAGAGGCACCTTTTCAATACGAAGGAAGCTTAAATATTCCCTTTCTGCTTAGAGGAAGCTTTTTTGTTTGTTTGTTTGTTTTAAGATTTATTTATTTGTGCATACAGAACTGGGGTACAGGCCAGAGGCTCAGGGGCGGCGAGAGGCTTCACCAGAGACAGAGTGGGGAGCAGAACAGGCAGATAGACAAAGTACACTGCTAAGGGGAGCAGCGGGCGGGTCAGGAGAGGTCTGCCAAGCCATGTGGTCACCTCCAGGGCAGGTGGGAATCAAACTCATGCGGAAGTGGCTTTAGCTTCTTAGTGTAGTGCTTTAACCTGCTGCGCCACAAGGGAGGGCCTAAACGAAGTTTTAAGGTTCCCATTTTTTAATACCAAACCAAAACCCCTGCATAGTATGGGTAGGGGGCATTAGTCCTGGGAGGCCATCTGCCTCTTTCTGCCAGCCCATAGGAGGCCTGCTCATCTGTTTTACCAATCCTACTCCACCCCCAGGAATTGTATCCATACTTCCAAGCAGGAAACACAGTGAAGAGGGGAAACCAAAAGGTACATTCCACCTGATTTTGCCTAATGTTGAGTCCCCAGAAGGCCTAACTGACTACTTATATTTATATCTCTTGATCAGGGAGATGTAAGGGAGACTAGAGAAAAAATTGATCAGTCATCACCCTGAACAAAGCTGAGGTTCTGGTGATGAAAAGGAAATGAGAAACAGACGTGGGGTAAGACGCTTACTCCAAAGTATGGAAAGTTCTCACAGAAATGTCAGGTTAGCCTTGATTGAATTTCAACTAAAACGGTAGTTAAACTTTCATTTATAGTGTTTATAGTCTTAACTTAAAATTCTAAGTTTTGAAATGAAATTTGGTAGCATGTAAAGGAAATTGAAGTAGTTCACCATTTAATGATATATTGCACAATTTGACTTACGTTCAATTCAGGAATAGAAAAATAAACTGCTTTATTTCTTAAAATGCTTTATAAAAATACCTGGTATTTTTTCTATCAGGGAAGATAGAAGACTCCCCTCTTCTTCTGAAGACCCCCCCTGTTGTATGAGATAGGTTTAGGTAATAACAATTAGTAATGGCACTTGCAAAGCTTTCTCTCAAGGTTCTTTCAATTCAAAAGACTAAACAGAGAGAAAACCTAATAGCATTGTGCTAGATGTGCACAGCCATCTTTCCGTGTCTTCAGGTGTGCTCAATCCCCCTAGTGGGGTTTTCAAGAGAAACACTTGGCGATTATCCAAGTGGGTCTGATCTCCCTGTGTGGGCATTTCCCACACTGGTGTGGTTCAGTCTAGCTTGACACTTAAGAATTTAAAATTTACAGCAAAACATGGTAAAATTATCCAGCTCTCACTCAGTACCACTTATTTTAGTTGTATTCAGCATGTGCAGTAAGTCAGGAAGTACCTGAGCATATGGCTAAGCAGAGCAGGCACCTGCCACTGTGATGGAATTGGGGAACTGCAGGAAAGACCTCCCCACGGACTTGCCATTTCAACTGGTATTGAGCCACAGGGCTAAGACACATAGGCTTATACTGAGAAAAGTTCCTTTCAAGTTAATATTCTGTGAGCTATTAGTATTTTGGAGTAAAATAGTTTCCCATTACTTATTATGAGAGTAGGCATTTAGGACAGAGATGGAGCCCAAGACATAACTACTGATAAGAGTAAAAGGTAAAGTCTTAAAATATAGAATGGGGCACTGCAAAGGGGACCCCAACCCTCCTGAAAGCAGGGTTATGCATGCCCAAAATGAGATTTTTCAGGTCAAATGTAAAATAGTGTGAAACTCTGTCTTCTTTATACCCTCACCCTGAAATTGCCTGCAATGGTATTATCAGGAAGGAGAATTCCCCTTTATGTTTTAATAAGCACAATTTCACAATGTTTTGTTATTTATGAATTTGTTATGTACTAGAAACACACTTACAAGAAGTTCACCTAAGTGCAAAAAAAGTCATCATTTGGTAAACAAAATTTTAGTGTATTTGAAAGGCTGAGGATAGTAAAAAACAGAATATATAGCAAATATTCCAGCAGAGGGTAACCCTAAGTTCATTTGCACACTCTTACCAAGAGAGTCATTTTAAAGCATTGTAAAGCTAAAGTTAAAGCTTCAAAGCAAATAAAATAGTCACCTTTTTTCTTAAATAATTCATATTTGAGTACTACCTCATTTCTGTTCATGTCTCAATAGTCATCATAATAGCTATTTTCTAAGAATAGGTTAGTCTTCCAAAGTATGATCTGTAAACTCATAGGAATTTGACTATTCATATCATTAGTGCAACTTTAAAAATATTTAAATATTTCTCACATGATTAGGTTAAGTAACTATTTTAATAATTTTAGCTCTGGAATAAGAAAAGCTTGAAAAGTAATCAAAAGTAATCAGTTATCTATTTTATAATATATCATTCACTGGTTATCAGACCACCTTTTTGAAGAGACTCTACCTCTGGACTGTGAATGAATGTTTCTTCTGTCTTCAGTAGATTTGGTGACTGTCTCTAACATAATACATCAGCTTATATCTTGACCTTATTCCTGTATTCCCTCAAGTTGTGTTTTCCATTGTCTACGCCTTAAGCCATTTTTTGGATTCATCTCACTCTTTAGCCATCTAGATCAAATAGTAGCCTCAACAGGACAAATCTACATTTTCCTTCATCCCCATAAAACTGAATCCTACACAGTCTATTCCCACTACTCCCTGACCTGTGTAGATTCAGGAAAGGATTATATCTGGTCACTTGCATTGATCATAACTTTATTGTAAGACTGAATTGTACTTTGAGACATGTTCCTAAAATCCTACCCCCAAAGATCCTTGTATGACTGACATTGAAAGTACTTGGCAAAATGTTGACTCAACACATACTTGATATCTAAGACTTTTTACCAAGTATTTTACATTTATCTGAGCAATGAAGTATAGCAGCAGTGCAGAAAAAAGATCTGGAGTTTTGTAGGCCATTAAATAAAAGATGTTATTTACCAATATTGTAAAGCTTCAATAAAAAAAAAGTCTCCTTCCAACCATTCCAGTCAAAGAAAAAGGAAAACAGAAGGTTTAAATTTTGTTTGAAATTTTAACCTACTTGGCATTTTTCTGCACAGAACTAAAACCAGTAATATTTAAGTAATTTATTGTTCATTTATAGGTGCAAACCAGTTATGATGTGGCACGCTATGAAAATATTTTTTCCCTGTTTTGGATTCTGGAGCAGCTTCTTCTAAAGGAGACTAAAGAAGGTAACAATTCAGATACAAGGCAGAATGACCAAGAAATCAAGAAATTTCTTCATAAGCATGATGAAATTATTTCCCAACTCTCTGATACATTCCCTTTATTTACTTGTTATTTGTGGAGACTGGGCATTCTCTTGAACTCAGAAGGGCCAGAAACTTGTAAATAACTCCCTATTTTAGTAATATACAAATTTCCTAATTATACTAGCATTGTAAGTTGAATATGCAAAGATAAGTTTTGCTTAAAAACTTTAAGAATATTTTTAAATGAGCATTTTAAATCTTATATCAAATCCAATCATTAATTGAATTTCATGATCTTAAATTGTATATAAATGATTACGGATCACATTTCTAAACTACAGTCAGCTTGTTTAAGTTGAGAATGCACTCCTGATTCTCATGTAACTACATCTTACAATGTTAAATAGTTTCCTCTTATTTGAAATAGATCATTAATTGTCTACCTCATAAAAGATTTATATTTTGAAAGATTTTCTTGTGACAGATATAAAAGGTAAAAGGACTGTTTTGTTGCTTTATCAAGCATATAAGTGCTTTTACATGCAATTTTAAAACTTTTCCCATGTACTTTCACGTCTTATCGTAGAGGGGGCTCTGTCAAAGGAGAAGAGTTTTTAACATGTAGAAACCTAATGGCCTTTAATTTCATAAAACCAATGTATCTGTCAAATCCTTTTACAAGTATTAGTTATGTAAAATGTTCTGTTTTTCCACAAATGTTTTCTATTAATTATATGATATTCCAGTTATTGTTAAAATGTAAGTGTTCTGTATAATTAAGTCATTAAGGATTTTTTTACAAATTCTAACATCTATCCAGAAATATATTTTTTACTTATTAAAAAGATTGATTGAATATTCTAGTTACACAGCTTCATGGACTTTATTTCAATTGTAACCAACTAGATTAGTGAGTACACATTATATACTTTCCTACAATTTAGAACTTCACAAATTTTCTTTATTAATTATCTGCAATATTATTTCACAAGTTAATTACATTCCTGAATGCCATCAGTATTTAAAAATAAAAATTAGTAATTCTATCCACAACGTGTACAAAATCATTATCTACCACATTATTTTTGTTATAAAGATTTCATTTTTACAAAGGCATAATTGGATATTCTTTTTCCAAAGGCTAAGTATCAAATAAATTACAAGCATATATGAGCAAGAAAAAGCTATAAACCAAGGATACATCTATAAATTCCCATGATGACATCTATAGATTTCCTATTAAGTCATGAAACATTAGTGGTGGGAGCCACATAAGAGATCACCCAGGAGCTGTCCACAAAACTCCCTACACACTGACTACACCATCATTTCCTAGGAAACCTGATAAAAAGAGCAAAACTCCCAGACCTCATTTCCAGAGAACCTTACTTTGTATGGGGTGAGAAATAAAATGTGTGCTATGATTCTTTTCAAATTTCCAGGTGATTCAGATATATATTTGGCTTGAGAACAGCTTTTCTACGTTAGTTCCATGAATTGCCCCTGGTTACATATCTAATTGCAGAGTTGGACCTGGATCTTGTACCTATTATTTTTAGAGTTATTTCAACTCTAAAAATAGAACATTCTAGAAAAGTACTTGAAACTCAGTGAGGTATCAGTTAGTAGTTTTTGCATTAAAACCACAAAATCTGAGTGGCATACAATATTTCTCAGGTGTCTGCAAGTTACTAAGGGATCAACTTATTTGGACTATGCTCTACTGGAAAGTTTTTCTTAAATTGAATATCCCAATGGACTAGGTTTCTTTCTGTTAATTGGGCTCTGTTCCTTACACGTGTGTTATTCTGGGACCAGAGTTGAGGAGGAAGCAGCTACTTAAGGTAAGCTCTTCATGGCTATAGCATATTGGCAAGAGAGAAGGAACCAGACTGAGAAATGTCACACTGTTACTTCTAGCCACATTTATTGCCAAAGAACATCAAAGTACATCTCTCCAGAAGTCCATAGAAAAGGGGAAGGAAATCCATCTTAAATGGGGGAATTTGCAGAGTTACAAGGCAAAGGACCTGAATGCAGAAGAGGATAGAGAATTGGAGTAAATAATTATTCCACCATACATACCAGTTGTACACAAGGATATTCTAGATCCTGAATAAATATAATTTTACTACTATTCAGTTCCTGGAAACATTTATGTTGGTGACACTGCACAAGACCCATTCTCCATGCCATCTCCCTATCATCTGCTCTTCCCTAATGATTAGACAAGGTTGGTAAATATACACACCACAGTGACGGCCCCTTTGCACTGCAGTCAGCCAACATAACAATCCTAAGAAATATTTTGTAACCAGACAAACTTCTTAATTCCAGTACTCTTTAAAACTTCATGGTCTGAAAGTCACATCGAAGGAAATGTGCTCATTATTGAAGACACAAGAAGTTAGGGTCATTGTTAATGGAGAAAATGGAGAGACACTTTATTTTCATTTGGTATTTTTATATAAGCATCAGTTTTGCATTAATTACATGATAGCCACCCCTACATTATTCTGTGTTTCAGTCTATAGCAATGCTAGTCTGAATCTCCTGCTGCTGACTTTTGTATCTATGTGTTTCAATATAGCAATGAAAAGGAATGAATGAATGAATTTAAACTAGAATTAAATTAGATTCGATTAATACCTAACAACTTTACAATTTTGAGGACAAGACAAATAGAAGCAGTAGAAATTAGGCAGCATTGAAATGGTTTATGATAGGATAGGAAATAGAGGACCTAGTGAACAATTTAAAAAATGGAAGGATGATAAAAATGGTAAGTGCTAACTTATATGTGGTATGCATGAAATACATGTTTTCTATATGTATGCACAAATACATATCCTACACATACACACATATTGATGTCAAGCACTGACATACCATTTTACATATACTAACTCATTTGATTATACCAACAACTCTTTGAGATAGGAAACATTAATATTTTAGAGACTGTTAAACTGCCATTTTAGAGACTGTTAAACAAAGGAATGTTAAACAAGTTCATACAACCAGAAGAAGGAAAGTAACTTCCAGCACTTGTAACTTCCATCCCAGATTCCTAGCTACTGCTACATTTCTCATTCAGTGTAAACTGTCCTGGCATTTAATGAAACTTTCACAAAATCACTTTTTTGTAATTGTAATCAAAGCTTTCTGTACTCTCAACTCTGAGTCTTATAGTGTGACAGCTCATTATTAGCTGGCTTTGAATTCCTCACACCTGCAGAGCACCTGTCCTATCTACCATCATCTCAGAACTAGAGCTTCTCTGCCCTTTGCTAAAGAGGACAACATCAAGAAAAGACCTCTTAGGCAAGTTACAGTCACCTTCAACAGTACTCTACGAAGTGCAGAGCTCAGTGCAACTGGGAGAGGAAACAAATTGAATAGTTTGTCCTTACATTTATATATAGATGGGGATCTTTCATACTCTGTTGTAATTTTCAGTCATATTTCAAGCAGAGTATTCATCTCATTCCTGGAGATCTAGTTTCATGTAAGCAGTAAATGTGTATTTAGATTTGTATTATTCTACTTCCCAACCCAGAGATGAAATTATATCATCTTACTTTCTTCTGGAATATGGTGAGATAGAAGTAATCAGCAATAGCCTGTTCTTAACTCTTGTGCTTATTTCATTTCTACCATGTTGAGTCTTTACCATTTTACTGTGAGCTACAGACTTGCCTAAGAATAGCATCTCTGACATGATGAAGGAACAGCTATCACCACTTCTAGTTTTAACAACTTAACTATAAAGGCATTTTTATGAATGACTAATCACTTCTGGAACACTAAAAATGCTGGTTACTGAGCCAGCAGGGAAAAGGATGTATTTGTTCTTCTCTCTCAAAAACACAAATTCACCATTTGTTTTGTAAAAAGAGGTCCAAATCTCTTGAAAATAATTCTAAACTTTTGCAGAAGAAAAATCTCCTTCTGTTTTCCTTCATTTCTAAGTGGATGCTTCCCCAGGCAGTGGCTGCACTGTGCTGCCTGTATGCCCTGACTGAAGGAAGGATGTGACACAGGTCCAGAAACATGCTTGGCGTGGCCTTGCTCTCTGAGAAAGTTCGAGAGCGAGGATATTCCTCTCAGAGGAAGGACCACAGGTCTTTAAAATGTATGGCTTGCCTTCTTCCTCTGTTGCCCATAACTGAGATGTGGAGTTCACCACAACTGACTCTGAACCTCACTTTGCACTTGGTAAAATCTAGGAAAGAACACCAGGGATACTGGGCTCCAATTATGAAGCAAAACAATAAAACAGAGCTAAAAGTAACTTTATAGAAATACGGGACTGTCTCCAGCTCCAAGTGAATATACTTTATTATTCCAAGGTAAAAACATAAGTATAGTGATTTTTATAGCTAAAGTTTTACTCATAGGCGACTTTCCTTTAAAATAGGCTCTTCCACACATATGTAACCCACATAGTTGACACTATCACTTCACTAAGACAGGTCATAATATCTAGAATTTACTGAGCCCCTGAAACATGCTAGAAAATGCGTAAGTTTTTCTAAATGGTATTTTTGCTTAGTCCTTCGAACAACCTTTTGAGGTAAGTACATTATTATCTGCAGTTAGACTAGGAAGTACACATAAAGCATATAAGCATATGAGTAATATGCTTGTAGTCGCATAACAAGAAATCAGAGCCAGAATTAAAACAGGATGCAAGCAACTAAGTCAGCAGTCTCTAACCTGGACACTCAGCTGCCCATGGCCTCCACACCCTAACTGTGCGGCAATTGAAAGTGAGTGTAGAGAAAAGTGTTTCCCTGACAGTAATTCCAGTTTGCACACTGTTTAGTGTTCCTTTTAGGTATTGCAACATATGTGATAATTATCACAATGGGAGACTTCTAGTAAGGAAAAAACTAGAGTGACTGAAATATTTCTTTATATTTGAAAGATAAAAGTAGTACAATAAAAAAAAGTTGTACAGTAAGATGCCAAAAATTTCCAATTGATGCCATTTATTTAAGTGAATAGATATAAATTAATTTTATTTAAGTGAATAGATATAAATTAATTCTCTTTAGCATCTGATTATTTCCTAAACCATAGGCATAGAAATATATAATACATGTGAAGCATAGTTTCTTTTGTTTCTAAAGTCATTTTT